GAGATGCGGGACTAGCTGCTCACTTCGGCGTGCAACCTCCACTCAGCCTGACCTCTGGCCACTACTATAGTCTAGTGCCTTGTTAACCTTGCCGCTGAAACCTGCGGCATGACTACGCTTTTCGAACATCCAACATTCACCTGCGCCGCGGCCTTTCACCTTCATTCACAATTCCCAGCCGTACCGTACTGGAGGCGTAGCTCATGCACTGAGTGTCTCTTAGGGTAATCGAGAGAGAGGCACATACATGTGTGGCAGTGCAAGTTCACTGCTGTATGGTTTAGGTGTTTTTGTGCTTGGGTGTGTCCGCCTTTTTCATTCATGTTTCGGCTGTAGAGGGGTCGGCGTAGCCGCGTTCTTAAGATTACGCGGCCGTTGACCTCGTCTATTCCCGCCGCCCGTCCTTTGTCGCGCTTCTCTCGGCATGTACGCGTTGTAGTTGTTGTTCTTTTTTATTATCAGGTGTCGCTGGAGGTTTGTCTTTCATGATGAGATAAAATTTTCGTCCATCCCCCTTTTTTTCAAACAAGACCAGAACATTGAAAGAAAATAGTGTAGAAAATATTCTACTTTGGATGCCGGCGACTTTGTTTTGGCGTCACAACAGTGCACGTTCTCTGCTTGATACTTAGTTTGAGTAGTCACGAACGAAACAGACAGCTTTCGGCTCTCCACGGAGGTTTGAGGTCGAAAGCGCCACACTCCATAGCGAACGATACATGACGTTACTCGTTGAATCACCCCCCCGGCAACTCCGCCCTGCTTCCACCTTGCCATGCAGGTTGAGCGGACTCGCGGTGGAGTGAAAGAGCTCATATCCGGTATAAGCTTCCCACCTCCGACCCCGGAGTCCCGCCGATCTTGCCCTCACTGTCCCATGACCTTCGTGAACGAGCAAGGCCTTGGGATCCACGTGAGAACGCAGCACAGCAGTGCAAACATGTCCAACGGCGTGCGGCTGCGGCGCATGTTACGGAAGGATGTCGGAGGGAGTGTCCTGCCGTGGGAAGCAGCCGGGCCTGGGCGTTGTTGGCACGTGAAGTTCGATCATGCGACGGGGACGGCTTCGTTTGTCCTCCAGCGGAAGCGCTTTCTCGATCTCGACTTGGATAGCGACGGCTTTATGGACCGCAAACCCAAGGATACTCGTGGGGCTCCCAAGCGCAGGCGATACGACTTCAGGTTCAAAGCCCACGCGGTCAACCAGTTGCGCATCCTCCAGGACAACGCCGAAGACCTCTGGAA